CTCTGAGAGACAACAGAGTAATCATGGAACGTTAGGGGAAACAGTGGAAACAGTGGCTGACTTTATTTTGGGGGCTCCAAAATCACTGCAGATGGTGATTGCAGCCATGAAATTAAAAGACACTTACTTCTTGGAAGGAAAGTTATGACCAACCTAGACAGCATATTAAAAAGCAGACACATTACTTTGTCAACAAAAGGTCTGTCTAGTCAAGGCTATGGTTTTTCCAGTGGTCATGTATGGATGTGAGAGTTGGACTATAAAGAAAGCTGAGCGCACACAGAAGAATTGACACTTCTGAACTATGGTGTTGGAGAAGACTCTTGAGAGTCCCTTGGACTGCAAGGAGATCCAACCAGTCCATCCTAAAGGAGATCAGTCCTGGGTGTTCATTGCAGGGACTGATGTTGAAGCTGAAACTCCAATACTTTGGCCACCTGATGCGAAGAGTTGACTCATTGGAAAAGACCCTGATGCTGGGAGGGATTTGGGGGCAGGAGAAGGGGACAACAGAGGATGAGATAGTTGGATGGCATCACCGACTCAATGGACATGGGTTAGGGTGGACATGGGTTAGTTGGTGATAGACAGGGAGGCTGGGCGTGCTGCAGTTCATGGGGTCACAGAGAGTTGGACACGACTGAGCGACTGAACTGAAATGAACTGAATGGGAAAGTGTGCAGATGAGAAGGGGTAAACAAAGACAATGTAACATTTATTCAGTACATTCTAGGCTAGAACTCTGCTTAGACAGGAGGCATCTAAGGCATGCAGCAAGTAAGACAGAATTGCAGGCACAAGTTTTCATCATATGGAATTCCCAAGTCTGCAACATGACTGTGAAAACATATAAGGGAGCCTTTATTTGACCATTCTACACTCATATTTTCAATATAAAAGGGTAAAGCTGGTGTATTCAGGAGAGAGAAAAACCTAGTATTGACATTGTGCATATATGTGTTTATTTTCTTCAAAGTTCTACCTTCATATGAAAAGGTCTACATAACCACCTAATCTAAAAATTTAAGAAGTTCCACTTAAATGACAGTCAACATATCAGTAATAGTTTTGCTGCTATAACTGAAGTATTTATTGCAACCACAACAACAATGAAAAAACAAAAAGACAAGGGCATCAAATGCTATTATTTATCAATTTTGGCTCAAAACATAATTGGGAGTAAGAAAGCAAAGGAAGAAGATACATACATTTATAGCACACATTATTAATATATTTTAAAAATTATTATGCTTTAAGTCAAAGTCTACCAAAGCATGCTAACAGATAGAAATATTTAGGCAATTAACTATGGAGGTTGATTTTTTTAAAAAAACATGCGGTTACCTCAAATAGTTGGATAATTTAGGTAAAATATTTTTACCCAAATTATTTGCATAATTGCCTCAATTCTCAAAAAATGTCTTGGCATAGATTTTTGCTACAATGTCTCATCTGATAAACGTCACATTCCATCCCAGAGCCCAATTCCTACAAAATGCTAGTACCCACCATTTTACCATTTTCTCCTCTCTGAACTCTGATACATAGACCAAACATACAAGTTAAAAGTTATTTCTTTTCATTCAAATTTTCTCTTAATGAATCAAACCTGTCTAGTTGTTTTACATTTAAATTCTCCCTGTGATCCCCTCTCCCCACCAAAGCCCATCTGCTTTGTCCTTAGTCAGCCAAGGCAGGTAGTATATATTACTTATGTCAATTAAAAAGGCATAAAATTAGTTCAGCGAGGGAATGAAAGAATCATTACAACACATCAGACTTTTCTCATCTCATTTTTCTGTCAAAATCTAACTTCAAGCTGCATCAGCCAGGGTTTCTATGACAAGCTAACAACTCGACATGAGTTTATATTTTTAACATTCATATTGTGTATTTCAATACATTATGTTGCTGCCAATAATTATGACTGATCTACACCCAACCTGCCCTTCAGCATTTTATTAAACCTCTTCAACAGTGACTCATAGTTCATACAAAATGTACATGTGTGTTAACAAGTCTTAAAAAATCCAAAAAGGAAGACACACAATTTTAAATGTGCCTAAATGAAGTGAAGGGGAAACGCTAAAATACTTATGAAGTGTTTTTTTTTTCCTTAATTATTATTTCCAGAGTGAAGTAATGTGGGCTTGATGTTCAATACGGGAAAAGTATTTACAGGTTCTCAAAAAAACTTCGTATAATTTTTTCATTACGATCAAGAAAAATGAACTCCACTTAATAGTTGTGCTGTTTCATCTTCAAGTCTGCCATCATCATTTAAGATTGTCTCGCATCTTGGGTTTCAATACAGTGCCATCTGGGTTTTCCCCATTTTTGCCTCATATTTCCAACTCAAAGTCCAGAGAGAAAGAAATCAGTTATCAGTTCCTTAAAAGGAGAAGGTTTGGATGAAAAGTAATACACCGTTAAAAACTCAAATCAAACATGGGAATGTCATTTTTCACCGAATTTAAGAGAAACAACTTCTCTTACAACTTTCAGCTACTGGAGGGGAATTTCTCTACCACAGCGGCCCTCAGTCTTTTGGTCACCAGGGACCCATTTGGAGGAAGACAAGTTTCCACGGACTGGTCGGCAGGGGTGGTTTCAGGATGACTCAAGCAGAGTCTGGTCTGAGCTCCCATGAGAATCTAATGCCTCCGCTGACATGACAGGAGGTGGAACTCAGCTGGTAACGTGGGAGATGGGGAGCGGCTGTAAATGCAGATGAACAGCGTGGCTCACTCACCCATCTCTCACTTGCTGCTGCGCAGTTTGGTTCCTAACAGAGGTTGAGGATCCTTCGTCCACCACAAAGCTATTGTAGGGTTGAAACAGTTGCCAAATGCGAAGCAATGAAGTGCCAGCAGTGGTCACTTCTAACTTCATACAGAAGCAGAGAGCACATGCACACAGTACGGTGCCAAGTGAGAAGGGAACTGAATTTACATCCCAGGTTATAAGGAGAAGTGATTTTCAAGTTATGTGCCTGTGCAGAATTGAATATCACAGTGAAGTTTAGGGTAGAGTCTGCATCTAAGTTGAAAAATTATTATCTGGTACATATGATAACTTTTTAAAGTCCTTATTTTTCCCTCTTAATCGTAAAACCAAGGAAGTCTGACTGTGATTACTGTGCAGAGAATCTATGAAAAGACAACCGTGTCTGGCTCCGTGCCACAGGAATGTCTGCCTGCCCTAGCACCCAGAGGAAATATCCCATAGGCTGTCTACCTGTAACAAGCAGCTTGTATTGGAATCTGTTCTCTGGTAACAATGTTTGTGGATAGAGTTTTCTAGCAACACTGAAGAGGAAGAGAGATGGCGTGTTTGATAGCTCACCTGAACGGGCAGCATGTTGCCTTCCTTAATGAGAGTTGGCCCAGCCACTCCTTGGCCCTCAAAGGAGATCATTTCCCAGAGAAATAAATCTTTGTACAGCCTCTATTGTATTCAAATTGCCTCCCCATCAGTTTAACTTTAAAAATATGTAGGAATTTAGGCACGTATGCAAAATGGATAGTCTGCCCTATAACACTGTCCAGAACAATTTGAAAGACAGAGTTCAAGTATAAAGTATCAAGAATCTTGAAAAGTAAGATAAAGCTACAGGTAAAAAGAGGCAAACAAAAAACCCGCAGCAGCCACAAGACTCCCAGTAACATGCTCAGGTATAGTATGTCTTCTGTTGGTTCCTGATCCACTTGACTAGAAGGGCTGCAAAAATTGATCTCCCAAGGCTGCCATAAGGTCATAGAAATTGATAACCCTTACAAGCAATGCTTATATGGGTCTGTCTGTGTCTTGAAGATAGTGCACTTTGTAAATTAATCCTCCAAAGGCAAATATATTGTAAGTAGCTTGTTATCTCTAAAATACTAAATTGAAGAATACATGGGATTATATTGACAGAAATTACATTTTCTGTAATGGGGCTTAATATATCTGAAATCTCTCCCAAAGGCTCCCAGGCTCTCTAACAGAGAAGAGTCTGTTAATGTAGGTGCAATGGACATCAAGAACAAATTTATTCACCAAAATGGATTAGGCCATGTAATCAGAGATTCTGTAATATTAATCTTTGACACTTATTGAACAGAAAGAAACACTTCTGTCTGCAGACTGGCATTCTCACTTCTCCTTTTTCCCCAATCAGGCTTTGGGCCTTTTCTGGATTTTACTTCAAAGAGGATAAGGTTTCCCCATCATAAACACTAATCTAAAAATATTGGGACAATTAATTAGATACACTTAGTTTTAAAGGAGATCAGATTTCGATACCCTTCAAATATGACACTAGCTCTGGGTGATTATATGAACCTGGCTTTCAGCACACTCACAAAGGATAATAAATCATACTTCCTCAAAGGCTATTTGCCACACTGCTATACATTAAGTCAGAAAATTGTTGGCTATCCTTGGTATATAATCTCAGCTTCTCTCCCAAATCAGGAATTTACACATTTACTTAGAAACAATACTACATAGCCCTGAGATACATCAAGTTTTGAATAGCTTCAAAGTAGAAACACATTGTTTTTCTTTTCTCTTTTTTCCATAGGGAGATAAGAGGGATGGAGTGTCCATCCTGGAATGCACAGTCTAACAAATTCTCAGTGAGCTTAGTTATTCAGCGAATTTAAAATCTAACAGATGTGATAGTGAAGTTTCTTGTTTCATAGAAACAAGGGTATTACTCTTTCTATTGATCATCCTTAAAGATTAAAAAAAAAACCCATGAGACATTTACAGAGCCACAGCTAAACGAATTAAACACTTACTTTTACTATGCCTAAAATTTGTCAATTTATAAAGGAGGTGCAAAACAATATGGAGTTTTCTCTTCTAATCTAGTAAGTGCTCTGGCTCATCAGTTGGCCCTGTGTTCTCACCTTTGGATCAACAAGCCACCAGGGAAAACTGGGTGTGTCTTCTTAATGCAAAACAAGAGCTGCAGTTGCCAGAGGGGGGAGCAAACACAAAGCCAAATCACTTACCAATTGTTCACTTGAAGGATGGTGAGTCCCGTGTCTTGTGCCAACTGCTTTTTCTGTTCTTCAGAAGGGTAAGGGTGCTGAAAGAGGACAGAAAGGATGGGTGTATACCTGTGTGCTCCGAACACACAATGTGCACGTCACAACACGTGCGACGCTAGGTGCAAGGGATTCAATAGTAAACACATGCTCTGTTAAAAAAAAAAGTGTACATCAGGCAATTTGAGGCGATTTTGTCAATAACTTAAATGTCTGCTGAGGTCTATAATTAAAGGTAAAAATGCTGAGGTGTGTCACTCTTATTAATGGAATACTCCATCATCTAATTAATGGCAGTAAAAGACAAGCCAATTACAAAGATTATTGAAGTGTATAAATACCTACTTAGGATACTTGCAGAACCTTGATACTGAATTTATTCTTTAACAGGTTTATTTGTTACAAACATAGAAAGTTCAATAGGATCTTCCTTGTATTTTATAGGATTAAAATAACAAATCCTTTTTGACCATACAAAAATGTACCACCTTGACTTAATATTTTTCTAGAACCACAGATTTCTAAAGCTGACCATTTGACCAACAAGCTCAGCCCAGGCCCCCAGAAAGTAAGCACTTTGTTAGCATCACATTCTCCTCTTTAAAAAAAAGCACCATGTTGCTGGATACCAAATATCAAAGTTGCTGCTGCTGCTGCTGCTGCTAAGTCACGTCAGTCGTGTCCGACTCTGTGCGACCCCATAGATGGCAGCCCAGCAGGCTCCTCTGTCCTTGGGATTCTCCAGGCAAGAACACTGGAGTGGGTTGCCATTTCCTTCTCCAATGCATGAAAATGAAAAGTAAAAGTGAAGGCGCTCAGTCGTGTCCAACTCTTCGAGATTCCATGGACTGTAGCCTACCAGGCTCCTCCATCCATGGGACTCTCCAGGCAAGAGTACTGGAGTGGGGTGCCATTGCCTTCTCCATATTAAAGTTAAAGTGGGTGTATTAAAAAAAAACAAAAAACACTATTCATTTCAACTCTTCTGTAAAGCACAACCAAATGAAACTCTACCAGTTGGTTCCCTATCTGAACATCAACATACTCTAGGATTCTGAACACAGGCCAATGTAGTAAGGTCAAAGACCAGAACATTTTGCGTGTGAAGAACAAGTCTCAGGAGTTAAGAGTGGACAAAAAATATTACATGATTAGATAATAAAATGAAATCCATACTTCTTGTAAAAATGTTTAGAATTCTACTAAGATTAGTTTTGGCACAGATACTTTCTATTTAATAGTCAACTATATCTAAGTTTGAAATATACATTTCTAAAGCCTGGGAGAGAAGCTGAGGACATGATTTCCATCTATTTGAGACACTGGCTCTTTTGAAAACTGCACCCCAATAAATTCTCCCAAGATAAAAACTGCCCTGATAGTCAACCTTCTATTCTCTTTATGAATGGAAAAGGGCACCCCAACTCTCCATTTTACTGTATGTGCCATCAGAAATTAAATTCTGGTCTATTGAATGTTAATTAACACAGCTTTCAATCTTATTAATAATGTCCGATTAGATGCTTAGAAGTCTCGTTAATGACCAATTCAATGCTCTTATATGTAAGTTTAAATATGTTCTGTATCTATACACATGGGATTCGTTCATGGTGAGCAGAGATGTAGCCATTTTTCCCAAAAGCATTGTGAGTTGACTGTCACTTAATCAATAAATACACAATTAGAATAAGGCTTTGCTTTCATGGAATATAGTGCTGCTCTCTTAAGAGCTTCAAGTATATTACAGACAGAGTGGTAATTAATCCCCATTATGTCCCTTTGAGGGACATAAATGGAATCTATTGTCCCTCCTGTTTTACAGGTGAGGACACTGGCCAGGGGCTGGCACGATCAGCAGCAACATGACCCAGGCATTTTTCCTGCTTCCCATCCAGCATCTAAGTCTCTTCATGACAGAAAGGTGTGGCAAGGCCTTTCATAATCTCCATTCCTGTCCCCCTTTAAGAACCTCCAGAACACTCACCTTGCCTGCAAGGCTCACCACCATCCAGCCCCACCCATCTGCCAGATGGTATCCCCTTCTCCTCACCCCACCTCACTTTCTGTTCAGTCATCTTCCGTTCTTCCAACACGTCAAGTAGGTTCCTACTCACAAGTTCCTATTCCAATGTCATTGTCAAGTCTCAGATCAAATGCCAAGCCCTCCCCTCTCCACTCTCCACCAGCCCACCTTATCATTCTCACACCATTCTCCCCGCTCTATCCCCATAAAAGCAAGTATCACACCCAGAAACACCCATTCTGATTATTTCTTTCCTTGGTCATGTGTCTTTTCCCACTCATTTAGCATCTTAAACACCCTCGACTTTCTCATTCACCATCCTCAAAGCCCAGACCTTCACTAAAGGAAACCAGTAAATATTGATGAGACAAAGGAAAAGCTCTGACTTGCCATGATACACAGATATTCTCCACTCAAATGCAACATCAAAATGTATAAGATTTTTTTCAAAGCCCATAGGAAGTATAAACAATCCAATCCAAGATCCACAGCACTACTTTTCTTACTTCATCCCTAAAAGTGATAGCTACCCACTCTTTTCTAAGCAAAGTGTATCACCTCCATAATTGGTGAAGATCATAGGTGACAATCACCCTACTCACTAGGATGCCAGTCATCACAAGCAAAATCTCATGATTGAACACTGACCTAAAAGCAGTTCACTGCCCCAAGGTTTAAAACACGACTCCTATTGCATAAATATTTGCCACACAATACAAGCCAAATGAATCTTATCCTCTGAATTGAAGAGTGAATAGTCGTTCTAGGGCTTCCCAGGTGGGAATCCCTGCCAATGCAGGAGATGCAAGAGACGCAGGTTTGATCCCTGGGTCAAGAAGATCCCCTGGAGTAGGAAATGGCAACCCACTCCAGTATTTTTGCCTGGGAAATTACATGGACAGAGGAGCCTGGTGGCCAGTCTGCATAGAGTCGAACACAACTGTATATGTGCACAAAGCACTTCTATATACATATAGTAGATCCACATCTGTACTAGTTGAAAAACTACATAGTTATATATGACCCTAATAGATTAGCTATTCACTAACTATGAGACTTTGAACAACAGACAACTCTTCCTTGATTTTATCATCTGGGAGTTCTCCAGGCTAGCAATTCTTAAGTAATAAAAGCCTGACTGAAATATACAAATTTTAGCATCTAGCTGTTGGTACTATTCACTATATAGGGTTGTATACTGATGTACATAAGTAATTTCCAATCTATAACATCTTCCATAATTCGCTTACAGTTTTGCCAGGTCTTTTTCCAGTGACTTTAGAAAGAATTAATAAACATGTCAATGGTCCCTCTTCACTACAGCTGAGTGTAACACCTTTTGCCCTGTCTTGTTAGTTGTGTTTTAATATTATGACCAGAACTGGATAAAAATTAATATTTATGCCATTTACCTTTAGTTACTTTGAAAATTGAGAATTGTCACAGTCATTTATTTGTGCTGTGTTTTCAAGAGTATTTTTGCATGCTTGTTTGTGAGCAAGTTTTACATAAATTCTTAGAAAGCAAAAGGGATTCACATTTTATTTATGCAAGGGGTGTCAGGAAAATTCTCTTTGGATCTTTAAAATCACCTGAATCATTATGCTTCAAAAAGAAATCTATGGCCTGCAAACTGTCAGCGCAAATTTAGATTGTTTCTTTACATCATGCAGTTTCTGATTTCATAATTTAAATATCATAAAATGAGAAAGTTCAACCCTTGTTTTTCCCCTCTGTCACTTTTCATGTGATCTGATTTTAAGTAATTGGAACAAACTGTGCCTAATTTCATGCAGCATAATTGCCAGGCAGCCTCAAGCTATGGAGACCCAGCACTCTGTCTCCATTAAACAATTTTCAGTTGTTCAGGATATATTTTTTAATAGAAATGAATGAGCCTGGATGAAACTAAATATCACAATAATCTGGTCATTGTTAAGGGGAAACAAGAGATATCAACAAAATTCCTAAACCTTTGTCTATGGTAGGACAACTGGATATTTTTCTTTTTCTGATAGTTCTTGGACCTGGTGTCCCGCAAACTTTCCATTCCATGAAAAAATAAAAATTCATAATTGCTAGAATCACATGAAAGCCACGTCTTCAGGTAATTAATCCACACTCAGCCAAAAATTCACAAAGAAGGAAGCTTTTTAACTGAAATCCAATATGTTTAACTATCTTAAATCCTAATCATCTTTACTAGGTAAGCGTTTTCTGGACAGTATGAGCTACTCCTTTGTAGACTTAAAAAGAAAAAATGACTTAGCAAAAACCCCACATGCCACAGGCAAGGCTGCTGTGAAAACATTCAAAGCCCAGTTTGCGTCCCGCCCATAGAGCTAGGGAGGCCCTCAGAAGGGCAAAGGTAGATGTCATTTTACAAAAGAGAGGAGGAGTGCCATTTTAGGAAGAAAATGGAAAATTTATTCCAAACCGTTGCAACCACAGGGCTAGGCGCCCCCCTTGCCATTTTCCTGAACACCTTTGCTGTTATGGCATCTAACCAGCAAGGACGCTGGTTGAAGAAAGATCAGTGGGCTCTTGTGAAGGAAAGAGGGATTGCACTTGCCAGATACACCAACCATCCTAATCACTGTGGGATATCAAAGCCAATTTGACCACAGTCCAATAGACAGTGACGGGAGACCTCTCCTATGTTGTGTACATTAGCTTCCTGCCATTATCTCTTAAAAGCTTAATTATTTGCAAACAATTGATCAAGATGGGAATTTGAGAAAGGATATGCAAGGACCACTGGGAGAACTGCAACGCATTAAGAGAGCAAACAAAATTACCTTTAGATCTTACAATAAGAATTAACGATTGAGACGGGAGAGTGAGGCAGGGCAGTAGCTGCAAGGCTTCTTTCTGGAGTGTTTCCCATTTGATCTGCATTAACACCTCAGGAATGAGTGAAAGCCATAAAACAGTGATTATGTATGGGTAAAGCTGACCCTCCCTTCCAACATTAAACTTGCACACATGTATTAGGCTGGCTTCCCTGGAGAGAGCAGA